ATGTATGCTCTTTTACATGTATCTCGAATAGATGAAGCAAGAGGCTCAACTTTTGAGTACCAATGTGGATGTGAACCAGTTGGATCTGATATATGTAAAAAATGTTTTATTTGTTCAAATCGATTTATTGTCATTAAATTTGAAATATAGTGTGTAGGGTATTGATTATTTTTAATCCAGAGAGATTTGAGTGGTGATATTTTATGTATGCCCATATAAATAACAATGGCAATCCAAATTCGCAATTTATTAATATTAAGTACATTCCATACTCGTCCTTTACCTTTAAATTTTGAATAGCACTGTATTTATTTGTTGATTCTACTATTTGTCTAAAAGATTCAATTAAAAAAAATTCATAAAATAACATTAAAGGGGTTACTATTCCAAGCTGCTGTAAATAGCCAGGAAGAATTAGATACCCTCATTCACGAAAAAGAAGTCTGTGCTGTAAAAAAAATAAACTCTAGTGGGTTTGGTAGACTAATTTGTTGACTAGATCTACCACTATGATTAGCTTTTGATCCGCACGGTCTTTCTCTGCTTTGCCCCCGATTTCTAACAATATCAACTGCTGGTATCACAGATAAATTATTTTGAGGATCTGATTTCTTATCGCTTTCTTGAGCTGGATATTTGGGATTTACTAGAAAGCTATCTATCAAATATTCATTATGATGGTTTTGTAAAAAATATACTTCAAGCTCATCTCCACTAAATTCAGAGTCGCTATCACTTATTTCTTGTTCATGATTATATATAGTATTACAATCATGTTTTATAATTTTGTTTAATTCGATCTGAAATATTAATTTCTTATTTTTTTTTGCTTACATACGATTAATTGTTTAGAATTTAGCTTATGTTCACCGGAGGTAAACTTCACCATAATATATTTATAGAAAATCTTATCTCAAACTTTAAAGTTAAAATTCAATCATAAAGTTTAAAGTTTAATTTTTTAGCATATTTAACTCAATATACCGAATGCTAATTACTAATACCATCAATATAATCGTTAATTTGATTATTTTATTAATGTTAAGATAGTGAATTTATTTAATCATAATTTAGAACTATTAACTCAAACTGATTAGAGAAGAAGTTATAGTTAAACTTCTTTAATTTTTTTAAAAGTTCACAATTTTGCACTTAAGGTTGTAGATCTAATAACTGATAAGTATAAACATCACATCCTGTAATAGCTTGTGATTTAACTAGGTAACACAAGCATATAACTTTTGCAGGGGTTATTTTGCTAAACTAAAAGAAAAATAAAAGCGGTTTGCTATTAAAAATAGTTAAAAGTGGTATTGGCTGAAAGCTCTTTATGAGTAGTTTTGCCAACAATAATGTTATACATAGGTCTAGATTATGATTTTTGCAAGTTGCACTAGCAAAAACAATTTTGATCAAAAATTTGCAAGCAAATTTGCCTGCAAATTGGTAAAAGGGATAGCTTTATTCTCTAGTTACAACAATTATTGGGACAACTCTACTACATTATGTATACATAAGTTAATTTAAAATAAAATATTATTTACCTGATTAAGTTTAAAATGTGTGCACAACAAGGTATATACACCAATTAAGATATTACACTAAGCAAAACATCACAATAGCATTTTTTCATATACTGAACTATGAATGAATTTGATCGCTCTATCTGATAATAAATCTTATCAAAAATATCTCGAGGATAAAATCTCAACTCAAACTCGCAATGATTCTTGAGTTTAATTGATTCTTGTACTGAGCTAAAAATATCCCAGATAGACCATTTATTTTCTGACTGATATACCAATAACTTTTCATCATTATTAAGAAAAACATGAAATAACTCAGACCCGGGCGCTGCTCCGGGGGCTTGGTATTAATTTTTTTAATTTTGTTTTTTAAAATTTAAAAATTTAT